TCGAGAATTACAAATGTTTTTGTTAGGTACGACATGTCATATAGTTTTAGTTTAGATTTCCATTAGTTGCATGCCTGGAATTAAAGCAGAACTTAAAGTAATTGTGAACCCTCACCTTGTAAAACCGGCCATTAAGTGTAAAATAGAAATGAAATGCAAAACATTTGTGATATGACATTTGATATAAAAACATTGTAAATTATAAATATCCCCTTTCCCATTTTCTATTTTCACATTACCTCTGTTCTTAGCAGGGGGACAGCGACACACTGATCTGAAGAATATATTTTTAAAAATATATATTTTTTAAATATATTCTTCAGATTTTTTTAACATATAAAAAAAAGTAAATTTAACATGTATTTTTACATATATTTGTAAATGCATTCCAACAATGTAGATTTGTATTTTTAAAGACATACAGTATATTTGAAATGTATTTTAAAAAATATTTTTTCAGATATCTTGTTATGAAAACGTAGTTCAACATGCAGTGTGTATATATATATATATATATATATATATATATATATATATATCCATTGCATGTTGAAATATAAATATATATATATTTCTTGAAATATATTTTGAAATATATTGAGCATGGCCAAAATTGTAACATTTTCATATATATTTCAATGTATTTGGGAAGATTATTAAAAAAAATATTTCAAATATATTTTTCTTCCATGTGGGAGTATACTGTGTGTGTGAGACAATTGCCAGCAAGCAGAGTGCCCATATACTAGAACTGGCGACACTTCATGCACACGTAGTAAGACATGCATGCGTTTGGATTAAATATATACCCATTGCATGTTGAAATATAAATATATGTATATATTTATTGAAATATGTTTTGAAATATAATATAAGATGTTATAGTGAGCGCGACTTAAATGCAAAAAACGTATAGATGTGTATACACAAAAAGTGTATAAATGCGTATACACAGAGAATGTTATTGAGCAGCTGATACACCGAAAAGGTAACCAAATAAAACCTCCAATCAGACATATATGCACCATTTTATTTAACATATATGTTTTGAAATATATTGAGCATGGCCAAAATTTTAACATTTCAAATATATTTCAATGTTTTTGGGAAGATTATTTAAAAAAAATATTTCAAATATATTTTTCTTCCATGTGGGAGTGAACAAACATTGCGAGCAAGCAGAATGCCCATATACTAGAACTGGCGACACTTCATGCACACGTAGTAAGACATGCATGCATTTGGAACCTCACATCAACCAGTGCATGGGCCGGAGCTATAAAGATGGCATCTCAGAAGAGGGACAGGGGAGGGAATGGATGTGGCGGTGAAGTTTCACTCTAAGCCGTGAGCATGGTCCTAAGTGTGATCTTATCTTATAATTAGTGTTTTGATGTAAGAGGTACATGGGAAAGATTTTTCACACAACAAATACAATGCAAAGATTTCCTCGCATACTTACCAGCTGGCCAGCAAAAAAATATACTATATAATAATTGCACTATTTCTACAATGTGCATTAAAGATTGAGGTTTTAGTTGCATATATTTGCAAATACTGTATATGTGGACGGCTCCTCTTTGAAGTGTGTTCCCTAACTCTAAACTATGAGAGCTCCAATCTTGGATATATACTGCTCAAAAAAATTAAAGGAACACTTTGGAAACACATCAGATCTCAATGGGAAAAATTTTCCTGCTGGATCTCTATACTGATATGGATTGGGTAATGTGTAAGGAACATAAGGTTGTCCCATCGTTTGATGGAAATGAAAATGATCGACCTACAGAGGACTGAATTCAAAGACACCCCGAAAATCAAAGTGAAAAATGATGCAGCAGGCGAGTCCATTTGGCTTCAATTTCATTGCAGCAACTCAAAATGGTCCTCAGTAGTTTGTATGGTCCCTACATGCTTGTATGCATGCCTGACAACGTCGGGGGAGGCTCCTAATGAGACCACAGATGGTGTCCTGGGGATTTCCTCCCAGATATGGACCAGGGCATCACTGAGCTCCTGGACAGTCTGAGGTGCAATCTGGCGGCATCGGATGGACCGAAACATGACATCCCAGAGGTGTTCTATTGGATTTAGGTCAGGTGAGCGTGGGCGCCATTCAATGGTATCAATTCCTTCATCCTCCAGAAACTGCCTGCATACTCTCCCCACATGAGGCTGGGCATTGTCGTGTACCAGAAGGAACCCACCCCCACTGCACCAGGAGGAACCCAGGACCCACTGCACCAGTGTAGGGTCTGACAGTGGGTCCAAGGATTTCATCCCCATACCTAATGGTAGTCAGGGTGCCATTGTCTAGCCTGTACAGATCTGTGCGTCCCTCCATGGATATGCCTCCCCAGACCATCACTGACCCACCACCAAAACGGTCATGTGGAACCACATTACAGGCAGCATAATGTTCTCCACGGCCTCTCCAGACCCTTTCACGTCTGTCACATGTGCTCGGGGGGAACCTGCTCTCATCTGTGAAAAGGCGCCAGTGGTGGATCTGCCAATTCTGGTGTTCAATGGCAAATGCCAATCGGGCTCTGTGGTGCCAGGCAGTGAGTACAGGGCCCACTAGAGGATGTCGGGCCCTCAGGCCACCCTCATGTAGTCTGTTTCTGATTGTTTGGTCAGAGACATTCCCACCAGTGGCCTGCTGGAGATCATTTTGTAGGGCTCTGGCAGTGCTTATCCAATTCCTCCTTGCACAAAGGAGCAGATACCGGTCCTGCTGATGGGTTAAGGACCTTCTACGACCCTGTCCAGCTCTCCTAGAGTAACTGCATGTCTCCTGGAATCTCCTCCATGCTCCTGAGACTGTGCTGGGAGACGCAGCAAACCTTCTGGCAATGGCACGTATTGATGTGCCATCCTGGAGGAGTTGGACTGCCTGTGCAACCTCTGTAGGGTCCAGGTATGGCCTCATGCTACCAGTAGTGACACTGACCCTAGCCAAATGCAAAACTAGTAAAAAAAAAACAGTCAGAAAAGATGAGTAAGGAAAAAAATGTCAGTGGCCTCCACCTGTAAAACCATTCCTGTTTTAGGAGTCGTCTCATTGTTGCCCATCTAGTGCACCTGTTGTTAATTTTATTAACACCAAAGCAGCTGCAACTGATGAACAACCCCCTCTGCTACTTACCTGACCAGAACAATATCCCAGGAATTTCACTGACTTGATGCTAGACTCTGATTAAAAAGTGTTCCTTTAATATTTTTGAGCCGTGCATAAAGTAAAAAAAACTAGGATAGGCATGCCTGGAGGTAGACAATTTCTCCTTAAAGGGGCAGGAACACACTAGACGCCCAGCACAGAACAATGGCTGCTAAAGACTTTCGGTGTTTCTCTGCACCAACTCCAACCAGCTGAGTCCCTTTCTGTGTATCAGACGTGCTGATTGCAGCCCCCCTGGCAAAGCACCATGCCCCCCCCCCCGTGTTGATGAGGACAAGGGCCTCATCCCGACATCCTTGGCCTAGTGTATGTGGGAGTCTGCAGGGGGGTGCTTACCTTAATTTGAAATTTAAAGACCCCAGTTATCTGCCCCCCCTCTGCAAATGAGTAAGGGATGCTTACTCATTCACATAAAAGTAAAAATGTAAATAATCAAAAATGTGACAAAGTCTTTTTTTGAACAATCATGTCACCCAGAGATATGGATCTATCATCAGTAAAGTACTTTGTCACAGTCTTGTGGGTATATTTACTATATTACTTATAAGCCGGGGTACTATGTGTTGGATGGATTTCTGGGGGGACCCCTTAGCCAGGCTGGAAAAGGGTCTAACATGGATTTTGGGGGGAATGCAAACTTCTTTTTTTTTTCTGCAAGGGGTACCCCTTAAAATGCATTTTAGGGGTACCCCTTAAAATGCATTTTAGGGGTACCCCATGGCCTTTTGTTTGTTTTTTTTTGCACGTGGTCCCCCTCTTAAATACCATACCAGACCCCTATCCAGGATAACGGTCTCAATTTAGGGGGGGGGGCTCACTCCATTTTTTTCTTACCAATGACTGTGTGTAAAGCAGGCCATAGATGGGTCGAAAATCGGCCAAAAATTTAGTCCGAAAGAATAATTGGCCGATTTTCGGATCGTTTTGTGGGTGAATTGGTCGGCCGTTTTTTTGTGATTTTTGACACTTTTTTTAATCAGTCATGTTGGAAAAAAACCGTCCGATTTTGTTCATCGGGCCGATTTTCACTGCAATGATGGGCAAATCGGCCGACCTTTTTACAGATTAAAACAATGCGCATGAGCCCTGACCTGCAACAAAAGAAGATGAAGACAAAGAAAAAGAAGAAGAACATCTGTATTTATTTGTATCCATTTCGGATACAGATGTTTCTATTCGGATACAAATAGATACATTGTTGCAACCGCAATACTTTCAAATGTCAAATATAATAGCAGTGTCCCTGCAGAGAGCTCCACTATTATATTTGACATTTAAAAGTATTGCCGTTGCAACATTGTATCTATTTGTATCCGAATAGAAACATCTGTATCCGAAATGGATACAAATAGATACAATGTTGCAACTTTGCTATACTTTTAAATGTCAAATATAATAGCGGAGCTCTCTGCAGGGACACCGCTATTATATTTGCCAGCCGTAGACGGGACGAAAATCACCCGATTATTTAAACAATGGTGGTAACGTCGGCCGACTGAACGACCGATTTTTTTTAATTTTTTAAAATAAAAAAACGGCCGGTTTTCTCCCCGTCTATGGCCTGCTTAAGTTGTGACTGCAACTAAATGAATGACTTCCAACTGTAGCGGCCAGAGGTTTAGTTCGCAGATGCATAGGCGGACTGACCATTTAGCCACTTGGGCACTGCCCGAGGGCCCAGGGTCAGTAGGGGGGCCCCATGAGATGTCCCTGGTACCTTTCATAGGCTTTTTTGGGTGTGGTTTGAGTGTGGACAAGGACACAGGGGTGCCATGATTGCCTGTTGCCCGGGGGCCCCATGAGTTGTCAGTCCGCCCCTGGTCCAGGGGCGGACTGACCATTTGGAAACTCAGGCACTGCCCGAGGGCCCGGGGTCAGTAGGGGGCCCCATGAGATGCCCCTGGTACCTTTCATAGGCTTTTTTGGGTGTGGTTTGAGTGTGGACAAGGACACAGGGGCGCCATGATTGCCTGTTGCCCGGGGGCCCCATGAGTTGTCAGTCCGCCCTGGTCCAGGGGCGGACTAACCATTTGGAAACTCGGGCACTGCCTGAGGGCCTGGGGTCAGTAGGGGGCCCCATGAGATGCCCCTGGTACCTTTTTCATAGGCTTTTTTTGAGTTTGGGCAAGGACACAGAGGCCCCATGATCCCCTATTGCCCGGGGGCCCCATGAGTTGTCAGTCCGCCCCTGCCCTGGTCAGATGCTTTGCCCCCTGGGGGGGGTAGGAATCAGGGGTGCAGGCATTCATTATATTGAAAGTATCAAGTATTCAAGTGTAAAGATTGTAATGAAGTTCCTAAACAGGGTGAGGATCCAAAGGCTGGACAGATGGACAAGTGAGTATAAAATGCCTTCTTTTGCATTTTTGCCCCTAAATTGTTAAAATGGTGACACGTTCTCATCTTTTGAATCATTGTTTGATTAGTTTATGGCTCTTTTAATAGGTCCGGCCAACACTGATCTTATAGTCAAGATGTGGCATGAAAGACGAGTTCTTTGGATACAGATGGTAGTAATAAGTTTCTTCCTCCTCTGGGAAGGTATGTGTGATCCATAAAATCTGGTTGTCATAAAAATTATTTACAGTAGCACTGTCTGTCCACGTCTGAGAAAGCAATACAGCAAAAAAAAAAAGACCTTTCTTTTTCAACCTTCAGCCGCTGCAATTTGTGTAAAACAAATGCAATCAGGGGCGGACTAACCATTTGGGCACTTGGGCACTGCCCGAGGGCTCAGGGTCAGTAGGGGGCCCCATGAGATGCCCCTGGTACAGTTGCAAGAAAAAGTATGTGAACCCCTTGGGATTACGTGGAGTTTTGCATGAATTGGGCATAAAATGTGCTCTGAACGTCATCTAAGTCACAACAATAGAAGAACACAGTCTGCTGAACATAATACTACACAAACATTAGATGTTGCCATGGTTTAATTACACATAACATGTAAACATTCACAGTGCAGGGAGGAATAAGTATGTGAGGCTCTAGCTTAATGACTTCTCCTAGAGCTAATTGGAGCCAGGAGTGAGCCAACCTTGACTCCAATCAGTGTGATGATATTGGATGTGTTGCTGACAGCTGTCCTGCCCTTAAAAAACACACACTTGTTTTGGTTTACTGGTTTCAAAGAAGCACTGTCTGATGTGAACCATGCCTCGCAGAAAAGAGCTCTCAGAAGACGTACGATCAAGAATTGTTGACTTGCATGAAGCTGGAAAGGTTTACAATAGTATCTCCAAAAGCCTTGATGTTCATGTGTCCACGGTAAAGACAGACTGTCTACAAATGGAGAAAGTTTAGCACTGTTGCTACTCTCCCTAGGTGTGGTCGTCCTGTAAAAACGACTGCAAGAGCACAGCGCAGAATGCTGCATGAGGTGAAGAAGAATCCCAGAGTGTCAGCTAAAGACCTACAGAAATCTCTGGCACATGCTAACATTTTTTGTTGACACATCTACAATAAGGAAAACATTAAACAAGAATGGAGTACATGGGAGGACACCACGGAGGAAGCCATTGCTGTCCAAAAAGAATATTGCAGCACGTTTGAAGTTTGCAAAAGAGCACCCTGGATGTTCCACAGCACTACTGGCAAAATATACTGTGGACAGATGAAACCAAGATTGAGTTGTTTGGGAAGAACACACAACACTATGTGTGGAGAAAAAAAGGCACAGCACACCAACATCAAAACCTCATCCCCACTGTGAAACATGGCGGAGGGAGCATCATGGTTTGGGGCTGCTTTGCTGCCTCAGGGCCTAGACGGATTGTTGTCATTGATGGGAAAATGAATTCCAGAGTTTATCAAGACATTTTGCAGGAAAACGTATGACCATCTGTCCGCCAACTGAAGCTCCGCAGAGGATGGGTGATGCAACAGGACAATGACCCAAAGCATACAAGTAATTCAACAAAACAATGGCTGTAACAGCACAGAATACGCCTTCTGGAGTGGTCCAGTCAGAGTCCTGACCTCAACCCGATTGAAATGATGTGGCATGACCTTAAGAGAGCGATTCACACCAGACATCCCAAGAATATTGCTACACTGAAACAGTTTTGTGAAGAGGAGTGGTCCAAAATGACTCCAGATCGTTGTGCAGGTCTGATCTGCAACTACAGGAAACGTTTGGTTGAGGTTATTGCTGCCAAAGGAGGGTCAACCAGTTATTAAGTCCAAAGGTTCACATACCTTTTCCTCCCTGCACTGTGAATGTTTACATGTTATGTGCAATTAAACCATGGCAACATCTAATGTTTGTGTAGTATTATGTTCAGCAGACTGTGTTCTTCTATTGTTGTGACTTAGATGACGTTCAGAGCACATTTTATGCCCAATTCATGCAAAACTCCACGTAATCCCAAGGGGTTCACATACTTTTTCTTGCAACTGTACCTTTCATAGGCTTTTTTGGGTGTGGTTTCAGTGTGGGCGAGGACACAGGGGCCCCATGATCCCTATTACCTGGGGGACTCATGAGTTGTCAGTCCGCCCCTGAATGCAATACGGCAGTCTGGAGGTACCGGTATACAGGAAGCCTCCAAAAATGTCATTTTCTGCTTGTGTGACTGGCTCGCTGATCTTTCTGCACTAGGATACAATGCAAATTGCAAGCCCCCCTTGCAATAGGAGTTTCAGTTTTGGTGAACTATCCTACAAGGGTTGAATACTTCTATAGAGATGCAGATATTGGAGATTTTTAATGTAGAAATCTGCTACAATGTTTGTTAAAGTGTTACTAAACCCACAACAGTACAATCAGTCTGTAGATGCAGTAAAGCATGCTTGTTATACTCACTGTGGAACCTAAGGGGTTAATCCTCTGCATTGTGTACAAAAGCTGTTTGATCCTGTCTTCTCTGATTGTTCCTTCTTTCACTGTCCCCAATACATCTGCTGATAGAACAGAGCTTTGGGGGTCAAGCTGCATATGCTCAGTTTGGTGTGTTTTGCTTGGAAGGTTTTTTTTTCTTAGGAGAGTGCATGTGATCAACACAGGGCCAATCAGCACTGTCCAGACAGAGGGGTGGGGTCCTGCAGTCTCATAGGACAGTCAGAGCATATTGAAAACTCCTTCTACAAGATTAACTAGTGCTCTGCTGGACACTGATAGAAGTCATAAGACTGCTCTAACTGCTGATGAGAAAAGGTATTTAGCAGTTTATATTTACTAAAATAATTACACTTCCATGTTGTGTGTACTGTGGGAGACCAGATATAGTGAATACAGGGTTCGGGAAGACCAGATATAGTGAATGCAGGGTCCGGGGAGACCAGATATAGTGAATGCAGGGTCCGGGGAGAGCGGATATAGTGAATGCAGGGTCCGGGGAGACCAGATATAGTGAATGCAGGGTCCGGGGAGACCAGATATAGTGAATGCAGGGTCCGGGGAGAGCGGATATAGTGAATGCAGGGTCCGGGGAGACCAGATATAGTGAAAGCAGGGTCTGAGGAGAGCTGATATAGTGAATGCAGGGTCCTGGGAAACCGGATATAGTGAATGCAGGGTCCAGGGAGACAAGATATAGTGAATGCAGGATCCTGGGAGACCAAATATAGTGAATGCAGGGTCCGGGGAGACCAGATATAGTGAATGCAGGGTCCGGGGAGACCAGATATAGTGAGTTTAGGGGTCTGGGGAGAGCGGATATAGTGAATGCAGGGTCCGGGGAGACCGGATATAGTGAATGCAGGGTCTGGGGAGACCGGATATAGTGAATGCGGGGTCTGGGGAGACCAGATATAGTGAATGCAGGGTCCGGGGAGATTAGATATAGTGAATGCAGGGTCCGGGAGACCAGATATAGTGAATGCAGGGTCCGGGGAGAGTGGATATAGTGAATGCAGGGTCCGGGGAGAGCGGATATAGTAAATGCAGGGTCCTGGGAGACCAGATATAGTGAATGCAGGGTCCGGGGAGACCAGATATAGTGAATGCAGGGTCCGGGGAGAGCGGATATAGTGAATGCAGGGTCCTGGGAGACCAGATATAGTGAATGCAGGGTCTGGGGAGACTGGATATAGTGAATGCAGGGTCTGGGGAAACCGGATATAATGAATGCAGGGTCAGGGGAGAGCGGATATAGTGAATGCAGGGTCCGGGGGAGACCGGATATAGTGAGTGCAGAGTCCGGGGAGAGCGGATGTAGTGAATGCAGAGTCCGGGGAGAGCGGATATAGTGAATGATGGGTCTGGGGAGACCAGATATAGTGAATGCAGGGTCCGGGGAGACTAGATATAGTGAATGCAGGGTCCGGGGAGAGCAGATATAGTGAATGTTGGGTCCAGGGAAACTGAATATAGTGAATGCAGGGCCCGGGGAGACCAGATATAGTGAATGTAGGGTCTGGGGAGACTAGATATAGTGATCGCAGGGTCCGGGGAGAGCGGATATAGTGAATGCAGGGTCCGAGGAGAGCGATATAGTGAATGTAGGGTCCAGGGAGAGCAGATATAGTGAATGCAGGGTCCGGGGAGAACGGATATAATGAATGCAGGGACCGGGGAGACCGGATATAGTGAATGCGGGGTCCGGGGAGACCAGATATAGTGAATGCAGGGTCCGGGGAGACCAGATATAGTGAATGCAGGGTCCGGGGAGAGCGGATATAGTGAATGCAGGGTCCGGGGAGACCAGATATAGTGAATGCAGGGTCCGGGGAGACCAGATATAGTGAATGCAGGGTCCGGGGAGAGCGGATATAGTGAATGCAGGTCCGGGGAGACCAGATATAGTGAAAGCAGGGTCTGAGGAGAGCTGATATAGTGAATGCAGGGTCCTGGGAAACCGGATATAGTGAATGCAGGGTCCAGGGAGACAAGATATAGTGAATGCAGGATCCTGGGAGACCAAATATAGTGAATGCAGGGTCCGGGGAGACCAGATATAGTGAATGCAGGGTCCGGGAGACCAGATATAGTGAGTTTAGGGTCTGGGGAGAGCGGATATAGTGAATGCAGGGTCCGGGGAGACCGGATATAGTGAATGCAGGGTCTGGGGAGACCGGATATAGTGAATGCGGGGTCTGGGGAGACCAGATATAGTGAATGCAGGGTCCGGGGAGATTAGATATAGTGAATGCAGGGTCCGGGGAGACCAGATATAGTGAATGCAGGGTCCGGGGAGAGTGGATATAGTGAATGCAGGGTCCGGGGAGAGCGGATATAGTAAATGCAGGGTCCTGGGAGACCAGATATAGTGAATGCAGGGTCCGGGGAGACCAGATATAGTGAATGCAGGGTCCGGGGAGAGCGGATATAGTGAATGCAGGGTCCTGGGAGACCAGATATAGTGAATGCAGGGTCTGGGGAGACTGGATATAGTGAATGCAGGGTCTGGGGAAACCGGATATAATGAATGCAGGGTCAGGGAGAGCGGATATAGTGAATGCAGGGTCCGGGGAGACCGGATATAGTGAGTGCAGAGTCCGGGGAGAGCGGATGTAGTGAATGCAGAGTCCGGGAGAGCGGATATAGTGAATGATGGGTCTGGGGAGACCAGATATAGTGAATGCAGGGTCCGGGGAGACTAGATATAGTGAATGCAGGGTCCGGGGAGAGCAGATATAGTGAATGTTGGGTCCAGGGAAACTGAATATAGTGAATGCAGGGCCCGGGGAGACCAGATATAGTGAATGTAGGGTCTGGGGAGACTAGATATAGTGATCGCAGGGTCCGGGGAGAGCGGATATAGTGAATGCAGGGTCCGAGGAGAGCGGATATAGTGAATGTAGGGTCCAGGGAGAGCAGATATAGTGAATGCAGGGTCCGGGGAGAACGGATATAATGAATGCAGGGACCGGGGAGACCGGATATAGTGAATGCGGGGTCCGGGGAGAGCGGATATAGTGAATGCAGGGTCTGGGGAGAGCAGATATAGTGAATGCAGGGTCTGGGGAGAGCGGATATAGTGAATACAGGGTCCGGGGAGAGCATATATAGGGAATGCAGGTTCCTGGGAGACCAGATATAGTGAATGCAGGTTCCTGGGAGACCAGATATAGTGAATGCAGGGTCCGGGGAGACCAGATATAGTGAATGCAGGGTCCGGGGTTTAGTAACACTTTAAAAGTTTGGATCCCATCGATCACTGAGTGGAGTTGGTTCTTTTTTAAGCAAAGTGGAGCTACTCTTTAAATAATAGCAAGATTAATTACAGGCTATCTAAAGACTACCTAAGAAAAAATAATATATGACAGCTTACCAAGCTTGTATGTCTTTGCTGCATCAGTTTTAGTTTATTAGACTGAGTTGATTGCCAGCAAGTAAAATAAATAACTGTAGAATGTGTCAAAAACCATTGTAATTTCCTGTGTAATAACATAAGTAAAAATAGCTTAGCTTCTCAGCTTCTCGTCTGTAAGTTATATTCTTGTAACAAATCTTTTCCCCATAGAAGTCGCTTATTCCAATGAGACTACCGATACCATCAAGAACAATCAAAATAAAGGTACCACCATTCCAGTTACCTTACTCAGACTTGGTGTGCATTGTGTGGTTATGATGTCCAATACTGTAAGTGTACTAAGGGTAGCCTGTCAACAGTGGCATGAGGTGGTGGCCTAGCATGAAATGAAGCATAATCAAGTCCATGAACAAGGCAATACATATATTTTTTTTAAACAAAACAATTAACCCAGGTGAGATAGATAAAAGAGCTTTAAAACAAGTCATTACTGACCTTTGTAGCTGCTGGTCGTATAGAGTAAATAGACTGTATGCCCAGTTTTGAATGAGAGAGAGGAGAGAGAGAGAGGGAGGGAGGGAAAGAGGGAGAGAGAGGGGGGGAGAGAGAGGGAGAGAGAGAGGGGGGAAGAAAGAGAGAGAGGGAGAGGGAGAAAGAAAGAGAGAGAGAAAAGAGGGAGAAAGAGAGAGAGAGAGAGAGAAAGAGGGGAAAGAAAGAAAGAAAAAAGAAAGAAAGAAAGAAAGAAAGAAAGAAAGAAAGAAAGAAAGAAAGAAAGAAAGAAAGAAAGAAAGAAAGAAAGAACCAGCTCTTTGTTGATCCACACTGCTGTCAGTCCGTCCCAGGACCGCTGCCCGGCTACACTAGGAAAACTATTTGCCAGCAACGTGGGCTCAAGGGGAAGCTGCTTTGGGCCCCACAGCAATGACAAGAGAGAGAGAGGGAGAAAGAAAGAGAGAGAGAGAGAGAGAGAGGGGAGAAAGAGAGAGAGGGGGGAGAAAGAAAGGGAGAGAGAGAGAGAGGGAGAGAGAGAGGGAGAGGGAGAGAGAGGGAGAGGGAGAGAGGGAGGGGGGGGAGGGAGGGGGAGGGAGGGGAGGGGGAGGGAGAGAGAGAGAGAGGGAGAGAGAGAGAGGGAGGGAGAGAGCGAGGGGGGGGGAGAGGGAGAGAGAGAGAGAGAGAGAGAGGGGGGGGAGAGAGGAGGAGGGGGGAAGAGAGAGAGGGGGGAGGGGAGAGGGAGAGAGAGGGGGGGAGAGACAGAGAGAGGGGGGGAGAGAGACAGAGAGAGGCAGAGGGATGGAGAGAAAGAAAAAAAATCAGAAAGGAAAGAAATTCAGAAATTAGGAAGGAAGGAAGGAAGGAAGGAAGGAAGGAAGGAAGGGAAAGAAGACTGGCCAGCTTCCTTTTTTGTCTTTAGATACACTTTATGTACTTTTAGTTTGGTCAGTTGTAAGTTATATTTTTGTAACAACTCTTTCCTCCATAGGAGACATTTATCCCAGTGAGATGACTAACGCCAGCAATGGTAAAGGTATCACCATTCCAGTTACTTTACTCAGACTTGGTGTGCATTGTGTGGTTATGATATCCAATACTGTAAGTGTACTAAGGGTAGCCTGTCAACAGTGGCATGAGGTGGTGGCCTAGCATGAAATGAAGCATAATCAAGTCCATGAACAAGGCAATATATATTTTTTTTTAAACAAAACAATTAACCCAGGTGAGATAGATAAAAGAGCTTTAAAACAAGTCATTACTGACCTTTGTAAGCTGCTGGTCTGAGTAAATAGACTGTATGCCCAGTTTTAGAAATGATATCAAGGGAGAGAGAGAAAGAGGTTTAAAAGGGAGAGAGAGGGGGTGAGCACTGAGGGTGAGAGAGAGAGGGGGGGAAAGAGAGGAGGGAGTGAGAAAGTCAGAAGAATCGTTAGTACAGGACCTCCTCCCAAGGGAGAGAGAAAGAGGGGGAGATTCAGAATTAAAGAAAAAAGAAAAAACCTCCTCATCTGTAAGGTTTTAGTCTTTGGTTGTGTAGCACTCTCCTAGTCAGAAAGGGGGAAAAGAAAGAAACTGAAAGAAAGAAAGAAAAGACCCAAAAAAGAAACCCACCCTAAAAAAGAAAGAAAGATGAATATTGCAGTGTGAAAGGACCCCAAAAAGATATCCCCACCACCCTGTTGTGTAAAAACCAGCTCATTTGCATTGATCCAGTGACTGCTTTTTGGAGTCCCCTCAGGTGTTTTTGTTAATAAAAAGTCAAAAAGTGAATCATACTATTTCCCAGCAATGATGTGCATCATGTACTGTATGTAAGCTGACTTCATGTGTACTATCAGCTTATTTGTATGACTAAGAGAAGAGAGAACCATGAAATCCAGAGAGAGAGAGGAAAGAGGTAAGGGCTGACTATAATCTCTCTGACTTGAGAAAGAAAGGGAGGATAGGAGAGGGATTTTCTAGAGACTTTTCCCAGAGGGAGAAGAGCCAGAGAGACAGAGGGAGGGAGGGGGAGAGAGGGAGGAGGGAGAGAGAGGGAGGGAGAGGGGGAGAGCGAGGGGGGGAACCTCTCAGAGAGAGTTAGAGAGAGGGAGAGGGGGGAAGAGAGAGGGGGGGGAGAGGGGAGAGGGAGAGAGGGGGGGAGAGAGACAGAGAGAGGGGGGGAGAGAGACAGAGAGAGAGCAGAGGGATGGAGAGAAAGAAAAAAAATCAGAAAGGAAAGAAATTCAAAAATTCAAGGCCTGGAAGAGCCCTGCTGTAAGGAGCCGGAAAGAAGGAAGGAAGGAAGGAAAGAAGACTGCCAGCTTCCACCCCTTTAGATACACTTTATGTACTTTTAGTTGACAGTTGTAGTTATATTTTTGTAACAACTTCTTCCTCCATGCCAGGAGACATTTATCATCTGAGATGACTAAGCATCCATCAATGGTAAAGGTATCACCATTCCAGTTACTTTAGTCAGACTTGCCAGTGCATTGTGTGGTTATGATATCCAATACTGTAAGTGTACTAAGGGTAGCCTGTCAACACAATAGGTCAGCGGGGCCTAGCATGAAAGGAAAACATTCCAGGCTATGAACAAGGTTTATTTTTTTTCTTAACAAAATAATTTCCCCAGGGGGGATACGTTTGTTGCGACGATTTAAAGTGCACCTGCGCCCTTAGTATTTAGATAGAATCATATCAAACAGAAAGAGGTTTAAAACAAGGCTGTGAGCACTGACCGATGTACTCTGATGGGGGGGGTGGAGGGAAAGCCGTTCCCCCTGTCAGGAACATCGTTAGTACAGTGACCTCCTCCCAAGCTCCTCAGAACGTTTTTTCAAGCCTACTAAACAAAAGAAAAGCACCTCCTCATCTGTACTAGGTTTCAGCACTTGGTTGTGTAGCACTCTGACTAGTCAACTAAAAGAGGCTTGGCAATATTGCAGTGGCCAGGACCCAAAAAGATGACCCACCACCCTGTTGTGTACTAAAGAGTTTAGAAGTAAGTTTGGTTTCCCAGCAGGAGCTCCTGGGTGCATCTGCCCCTCAGTGAAGGAAGGGACTTGACCCTCAGGCAGTTTTTGTAAATAAAAAGCAAAAAGTGTGATCATACCTTCCCCACTTTGAGCAGTGCATATGTCCCATTGTACTGTATGACTGACATTCATGTGTACTAGCTCTTATTTGTAGACTACTGGGTAGATGAACCAACCTCAAATCCACAACCAGAAGGAAACTGGTAATGGCTGACTATAATCTCCCAGACTTGAGAATTATAATTGAGGATAGGAATTCTATTTTCTACACTTTCCCACTACAGGACCAACCTATCCCACATTATTTATTATCTTTTTTTCATGGTAACCTCCTTGTTATATATATATTTCAAAATGTTCTTTGTCTTTAATAGGAGAATTCATAGGCCTGGTAGAGCCCTGCTGTACATCAGCCGGTATGGCTGGCCAGTTCCACAGAAAGCAGGACATTCACCCCTTGTGTACACTACAGAGGCCTGTCTGTACAGAAGCAACTGAATGTCCGGCTTCTGCAGTTATGGGCAGTGCCAGAAAAACACTACTGTCACATCCAATCAGCGTTGCAAGGGCTGCGAGCATGGAGTCCTTGCCAGAACACAAGGTTCTGGCAATCGGGGGATGTCCCCCTGGAAACACAATAGCTCAGCGGAGTTCTCTGTACTAACATTGCATCATTAGTACAATTTTTTTTATCATTCAGCCCTCTGAACAAGAAAAAAAAAAAATACTCCTGGGAATTTAGTCTTTGGTTGTGTAGCACTCTCCTAGTCAGCTAGGGGGAGCTAAAGACTGCAATTTTCAGACAGGGGAAGTAGCAGCCCAGGTGTAATAATCAGAGTGGGAGAAATTTGGGTTGGAGCCGAGAGGCTCTGCAGAGACTTCTCTCTGCACTAGAACGTTGGAGAAAGTTCTAGAAGGTAAGCATCTATTTGGAGTGACTGATCAGCACTTTTTGGGATCCTGACCAATCCCTATTCAACAAAAGATTGGCAGGGATCCACGATTTCTCCTTTATTTTGATTTATTGATTTTGCTCAGCAGTTTTGATGTGATTTGAGTTTGGGACAAGTGTGAAGCAGGAGCCTATATGTCTTTGATTTGAGGATATTACCTACAGATAGAGACCTTTTATTTTGAGGTACACAAGGCCCCCATTTTTGGAGAACCTTTTTGCTTCACTGAACACATAAAGAACTGGTAGCAACCACGGACCCATTTTTGGACAGGAGAAGGACTGATTTATCTAAATATGCTTTTTGGAGATTGGGACCTCATAGGGGAAGG